GGCTGTTTGGCTAGACACTAGTTCCAGATGCACTGCTCTGGTTCTTACAGCGTATGTATACAGAGCAATATAAGCTTTCCCAGTTTCATCTTTTGTACTCATAGGACCAGCAAAATCAAAGTCCTACAACTTCGAAGGGATTTGCCTCTTCTGTTATTCTTTCGATTGGTAAAGGAGCGATCTCCTGACTTAGTGGACCTAGCTTTAAATCTGTAAGCAAATCACACACTTGTTAATGGGTGCACTCTTTACACGCTGTCGACCCTTTAGTATCCAAAATTTTTCTCTAACTTGAGTTAAAGTTTCAGCTACACCAGCGTGTGCTTGCATTTCGTGACAATCTTTAATGATATGATCTGTGTGAAATGAGACTTCTCAGGTAGTATTGCTGGGTATGTTTGATTATAGCTTAACCCAGCATTTTGAAGCCTTCCTCCTACTCTGAGTATTCCATTTGAGTCTACAAATGGATTTAATGTAAATATTTTCGAACTATGTATGATTTGTTTCATCTTTAATTTCCTTATTTTCTCTAAAATTTTCTTCCTGAGTTTTCTTGATCCAGAAATTCTCTGCTTCATTCATCTCTTCAGCTTTAACAGGTCCAATTGCTTCTTAGTTTTGGGTTTTTCAAATTATTGATAAATCGGAAAACATAAGATGTTATTCTATATACCTTTTTTATGTCACTAAAGTTCTCGATAGGAATGATATTTTCAACAATACAGTTTGCTGTTAAAATTTCTTGCTTCTTTCCTTTTCGTTTCTCAGAATTTGTTTATTTTATCATATTCCTTAAAATTTCTCGAAGATCTGGGCCAAAAGTTGTTATCTTTGACAAGCCAAGGTGGGCCATACCACCACAGCTCATTTTTTGAAAGGGTTTATACCTTCTGTTCTCTCGTCAATAAGTCCGAAGGATTCTCATGGCTGGGACAATAATTCCACCAATCTGGATCAGTTTTCTCTTGATTTCTAGACACCTATTTCGAACAAATTGTTTCCATTTTGTCGGATCAGCCTTGACCCAATGTAATACAATTTCTGAATCTGTCCACATATAAATATTCATTTCTATGTTTTTCAACGAATGTCGGATGTATGTGATGAGTCGAGCTCCTATGACTGCTCCTAAAAGCTCCAGTCGAGGTGGTAACGTAACCTTTTTATGGGAGCAACTCTTGCTTTGGAATAACAAATGATGTTTTTGTTAACTCATTTTCATTGTATCTCAAATATACAACGGCACCATATCCCTTTTGGCTACTATCTGTAAAACAGTGCAATTGAATATTCGACAGATTTCCTTTTGATAGATTGTTGAAATAATGTCTTGGAATTTCGACATTTTTTTAATTTAGGAATTTCATTATACCAGGTTTTAAATTGATTCTGCAATTCTTGATCAAGTGGTGCATCCCATTGGTAACCTCTTTGCCAACATTCTTGCATCATCATTTTAAGCTGCAACAACAAAGGGAGATATGAAACCGATAGGATCGTATAGTTCGCCCGCAACTTGAAGAATCTTCCGTTTTGTTATTTCCTCAGCGGATCCTTGAGTAATTCATCTTTGATTCGAAATTTCAGTTTATCTGCTTCATGATTCCAAATATATCCTAACAAAAGTGCTATTCATTCCGTCTCCATTAAACTTCGTATTTTCAGCTGCATTCCAAATCGCGTGTAATTGGGCGTTATTGCTCCTCCACTTTCTCATATTGAAACTAGCAAGCATCATAATTCTTTTCACATCTTCATAAATTTCTGCAGCTTTTTCTTCATCATCTGTACCATGAATCAAATCATCTACGTAAAACATTTTCTTCAAGAAGCTAGCAGATCTTCGAATATTGTGATTTCAACTTTCTTGCGTGATGCTTTATAGTTGCTGCTAGTAAAAGGGGCTACAGGTTGCTCCGAATATTACACGCGTCATTCTTAAAATCGTCGGTTGCTCCTTTTCCTTTGCAGTCCAAAGAAATCTTACTGCATTTCTGTCCTCAGGCTTCAACAGAATTTGTAGAAAAGCAGCTTCGATATCTGCAGCAAATGCTATTTTGTGTTGACGAAAATTAATTAGCAAATCTAATAATTCAGGGTTTAAATTTGGTCCTGAATAAGCAATCATTTAAAGATAGACTGTCATGAGTATGCGAGGAAGCATCAAATACGACCCTTAACTTCGTAGAATCGTGATCTTCTCTGATTACACAATGGTGTGGCAAATAATAGATGTTTTTTCTTTTCAGAATTCTTCGGAGCCTTTTCAGCTATTCCTTTATTAGATAATCTTCAATTACCCTTGAATACTTGTCATAAAATTTCAGGATTTTTCTTAAACCTTCTAAGTAAACTGTTCCATCTGTTTAAGGCGATGTTATAATTACTACCCATTTTGTTCATATTGTCCTTCCAAGGTTAATGAAACTTCATAACGATTGGTTTTATATTTCAGTAGTTTCTTCAAATCTCCGCATAACTTCAGTGTCATTTTCATTTGTTGAATAGTCATGTATTCCTAATTGCATCTAAATCCCATAGCCGTTTTTAGAGCTGCACTAATTTCCAAATCATGTGGATGTGAAAGTATTCTCAACAACATTCATTACCGTAATTCCGGAATGAAGTGTAGAAACATTACTTAATGCTTCAGTTCCGCTTATAGTGTAACCAAATAAGGTTTCAGAGGCAACAAGACCCTTTGATAATCTTTTTAACTTTTCCAGTGACTATTTTCCAGTAATAATCATTACCAATTAATACTGATATTTGAGAGTTATGGCCACCTATATCTGTAGCATCAGCAAGTCTTATCGAATTTTTCCTTACAATAATTAAGTATTTCCTTTCCTGGCATACCAATAACAGCTTGATTAATTTCTGGAGTTTCAAGAGCTTCAATATATTTTCCCAGGTCCACATATATCTTTAAGAATAAACCTTAACCTTTTTTTAGCCTTTTAACTGTAGGCTCAGTAGAGCCGAAGGTGTAAATCTGAAGTTCTTCTTCCCCACAAACACTTAATTTTAATTTTTTGATACTTCTGTCAGGATGAAAGATTTATGAGAGGCAGAATCGAAAATGAGTCTTACATTTTTCTTCTATTCTGACCTAAAGCTATTGCATTTGCAGTTTGTAAATAAACCCTATTTTTGTTATCTCTTTCCGAAATTGACGCCACCACTGTGTCTGTTTTAAGCTCACCTTTACTTTCCCGTTTTTTTCAAAATTATTATCATGTAAAATAGTATTATGCCTTAATGAACATAAATCACAGCGTATATTCGAGCTGCAACGGGCAGATGTATGAGACCTACGAAAGCATAAATAGCATCTGTTAGCCAATTTTAGATTTTTTCTTTTTTCCTCAATTGGAATTGCGCAATTTGAAGTAGAATGTTTCAAAGATTCATTTTCTATCTTTCCACAAAATATACAATCGGCTGTTGATGTATTCGTATTCAACGACGCAACTGCTGGAACAAAATGTTTGTTTTTGAAGGCAGTATGATATTTCTCACTTTTAATAAGGTCTCGCGATTGATGTTTATGTTGTTCGGTTCTAATGTTAAACTCGGAATAGTTGGGCGATGTTTGGAAAAAACGTACGCTCTCTGCTTTCAACTTCCTTCTTCAGAAATTCCAAAATGTTAGTCACTGTGGTTTCTCTGTCAGGGGTTAAAGATCGATTTTAAACTCTAAAACCAATTCGCTAGGAAGTATCCTCATTAACAGTGGGCATAACAAATAGCTTGTAAGAATTCGAAGTAACGTTAAGGGAATCAAGGCTTCTAATTTCAATTTCTAAGCTATCATATAAGTTACGTAATGTTTTAATATCATCCATTTTTTTAAACTGGCTTTAAATTCAGCGGACGATTCATATGTGCATTTATTAAATGTCCTTTCTACCAAACCTTTCTTTCAGAATATTTATTGCCTTAGCGTAATTTTCGGCAACTAACGGTAATCCCTTTATTGACATTAAAGCTGTGTCCGCTAGTAAAGATGTGAGGTAATTAAATTTGTCTACATCCTTTAAAGCAGAGTTATTATGTATAGCAGATTCGTATTGAGCCCAAAACTTGAAATTCACATATTTCGCCTTTAATATTTATTTATGGTTAGTTCGAAGCTTATTCTTAAGTTTAGCGCCATTTGTATTTGTGTTCTCTATCGTATCTATAGTAGCAGATTAGATGGCAACTCATTATTTAATTTAACACATTTTCTATTTCTAAATATTCTACTGATCTTCGATTTACACAAGGATAATTTTATTTTTATATTCCAAGCTATCCTGTATTCAGTTTCGTACTCTTTTTCATCTGTTAGGATAGATTCGATTTCAGAGTTCAATATTAGTATATCGTTTTCATTTTCATTTAAGATGGATAAATCATCTTCTAATAAATCAAATTTAATATTATCCGATTCTATTTCCTTTTCCATTTTAGCTATCAGTCTTGTTACTGATGCTCTTAACATTCCTCGCTTCTTTTTTAGTGCTTTTAACTTATCCATCTTAATAATCAATATTCAATCACTAATCGGACAATAATAAATACTTAAATCACAATATATCTAAAGGTCCCTGGTTCGATCCCGGGTTTCGGCACCATGTTGAAACTTATGATCTTTTTTCTTATTCTTATTATTTACATTTTAACAACATCTATAAGTGAAATTTTGCTTACCTTTCTTAATAAATATCCACAGGAACGCTTGGAATAATTACTTTTCATTTTTATCACACAGAAGAAGCTTTATTTACAGCTATGTACAAGAATTGTATGCTTACATTAGAAACATTCATCATGTTTTTCTGGTTGCCACTACATCTATCTCAAAAATCCACAATGCGGTAAGAAAAATATAACAAGCTAAAAGTAAAAAACGCTGCGCCCTCTCGTGGCCAACTACATAAACTGTAACATTATTTAAAGTTTAGATTATCGGAAAGAGATACAGAAAGGGAAAATAATCACACACTCACCTGAAAAAATTCTTTATATAAGCATTACTGCACAACGACCAGTGTACCTTCCCTGGTCCTGTTTTATCTGACATGATGAATTTATTTCGCTCGCAGTTGTTTCCACTACCATCATGCATTACTCCCAAGCTGCGAAAAATATTGGAAGTTAATTAAAAAAAATAAAAACTTGAGTCTTTTCATTCCTGAAATAATGATAGATAATAAGATCTACAAAAACTGCATGTGGAGTAAGCAATGAGTGGCATTTACAAAACTTTGATGCGTACAATAAGTCAAATATTATTTATCTTTTGATATACTTGAGATACAAACTTAAGATTATTTAATTACCGTACGACTTCGAATTTAAGCAGCAACAGGAGTTTAAAAATTAGAAAGATAATAAAACATTGCGTCTTCGAAAGCAAGCCTAGTAGGATTTTAAAATTGGAAAACTTGAAAAATAATAATGATATTAAAATTGGAAAACTTGAAAAATAATAAGATAATAATGATTTTATAGTAGGCTTTTGAAAAATACCTATTATACGATTAGTTTAATTTTTAAGACCTTACAGACAACTAAACGACTTCAAATGTGGTCGCATTGTAGGGTTGCGTGAAGCTAGGTGGTCATACTGAGCAATAGGCCGCCACCTGCAGCGTACAGACACTAATGTGCAAAGATGTTGGCAGCAATGGTTGCTACAAGGAAATTGCCGACGAAATAAAGGCGCTGGAAGTCCAAGGAGCACAAATGCAAGGGAAGATAAGATGATTGTTAGACAGGCCCGAACCGCCCCAACGGTATCATTGTCGACTATTGAACGCATGTCTGTACCTCCCGTGGTACCGTTCACCATCTCATGGCACTTGTCTGAGGCGGGGTTATGCTTACAGAGGCTCTTAAGACGTTTGCCTTTGACCCCACAACATCGCCGGAGTCGTTTGGAGTGGTGTCGCAGCCGATCATCATAGCTACCATCAGACTGGAATGGTACAGTGTTTAGCGATGAAATCCCGCTTCACTCTTGAAGAAGATGACAACCGTGTTCGGGTCTGGAGAGGACGGGGCCAGCGGTTCCAATCAGCCTTTTCTTACAAAGGCATACAGCCATAACCCTGGTGTGATGGTGTGGGGCGCTATTTCTTATGACAGCAGGTCATCTTTGGTCATCCTCCGTACATCTTTAACAGCTCAACGATATGTTGATACCATCCTGCGGCCGGTTGCATTACGCTTCATGGCACGTCATCCTGGGGCAATTTTCCAACAAGATAATGCCAGGCCACATACCACTCGCATACCTCTGGACTGTCTCTGTGCTGTTAATACTCTTTCTTGGCAAGGTCACCAGACCTTTCACCAATCGAGCATGTCTTGGGCATGTTAGGCCGCCAGATTCGTGCACCACAAAATATCGCAGATCTGGAGCGACGAATGATGAATGCCTGGCAGAATGTGTCTCAGGATAACATTAGGAACCTCTAACAATCCTTGCCTCACGAATTCAAGCATGCATTGCCGCCAGGGGCGGTTCGACCAACTATTAATTTGAACGCTCATTGGGTGATTGTGATCCGTGAACAGGTACTATGACCTTGATTTTTTAATAATTTTATTATCTATCTATGAGCTATACACATATTCAATTTCATCAAAAACAACCACTTCCTTCATGGTGCTTCGATTTTTTTTGCAAAAGAGTGTATTTACTATAACTCAACTAGTTTAATTCAACCTTTAAAGTATATATGGGATTTTTCCATTTATTCTTGGGAGAAAATATACAAATTAAGAAATGGTAACAAACATTAAAATAATATCTCTTAATTATAACACCAGTGAGTCTCTCCCATCGATCATGAACCACCTCGAAAAGTGAACAGTATACTATATGAAAACAATAAACAAATGTCGATATTGATAATTATAATACTATTCTTTAAGATGATTTCTAGCTAAACCGATAAAGACCGCCAAATATTTATAAACACACCATTAAAATATCTAAATTCTTTATCAAAGTGCAATGTTTTATAATCTAAACAGATGAGTAACATTTCTAATTTTTCCTGTTGTTAGTAAAACTAATTTTACGGACCGCAGAGCGGATGGTAATTGCCATTTATAAGTCATTAATTTTATTAGAGCATTGTGAGTTGTTATTTCTCGTCGCTCAGTTCGTTTCTGAGTTTATTATAATTGTTTTCATTTATTTCTGAATTTTCAGTATGTAATAAGTATATTAAGTAATAAATGTAACATGTAATAGGTGTTTAGAGCAATAAATTTAACATGTAATAAATATTTACTAAAATAATGTAATAAATGTTTTCTGCAATAGTGTAATATATGTTTGATAATATCGCAATAAATATAATAAATATTTCCAGTATGACTGCTTTGAAATTTAAAAATCAGTAAATGTTTGTGAGTATATATGCTTGCGCCGTTTTATTATTTTTCAGAACAAAAAGCAAAGGGATTAAATTTAACGATTAAAAGGTTTGAATATTCTTTTTTCGTGCTGTTGGAAAGTAAGTAAGACTGTATGTATATAGATAGTTAGATTGCAATCGAAGGAGCAAAGGATGACGTGTTCCAAAATAAAAATTGATAGAATCTAAAAAGATGGTTCATATACTTATGAACCTTAAATTGCTTGAGAAAAATATGTGACTAATAAAAAGACAGAGTTAAAAAGACAAAACGTCATTGTATGGTTGTTTTAAAAAAAGCAGTTTTGAGCTAAAGAACAAAATTTTTAATGTAAGGTATGAATTCTTTTCGCTTGATACGTAATCACTATTTTCAGGTTTCTCAAATTTTATTCCATCACTGCAAGTATGTCAAAAATAATTAAAAGGAATATTTCTTCTTCTACTTGTTAATTATTCTATCCCCCACTGAGTTATCTTTATAATTGATTCATAACTAGTATTAATTAATACATAATTGGTAATTTATGGTATTAATAAACCTGTATAATACATTTCAAATATATAGTATTTTTAACTCATGTATGGAGCTCTGAGGTGTAATACTCATTTTGCAAATCGATTAATGCCGTCATCGGTAATAAAGTACTGTAAGGTAATATCGCTACAGAACATAATTATCTCAAACCATGGATAGGAAGACTTCACTCTATATTAAATCTCTTGATAAAAATACTAGTATTGTTAAGTCTACGTTTGTTTTGAACATCAGATGTTGTCAATATTACTACGTGACATAAAGAAGAATTATTATTTATTGCTTCCTTTCAGCTATTAATTTTTCATTCAGGAAAAATACATTTTTACTATTCTTAGATTATATGTAACTGGGACTAATGAATTACCGGAAATATCTTTCATTCCTCCTTCCCCTCCCCCCAGTTAAGCTTAGCCGAATTTATCATATTACAATATTTTTTGGTTTTGGGCGAAGGATGGCTAGTAAGTACAAAATTACTAATACATTACTATGTTAGGATATATTTAAGGCAAACATTATGTTATTTTAAGACAAAAAAGGAAAACGATGAAAATCTAAACATCCAGTTGTATGAAAACAATGAGAATATAACAGTGTATTTTTTTAAACTGAAAAGGAATACAGTGCTCTTACTTGTGAGCTATCTCGTGAGCGATGACAAAAGCTGCTTCAAAACTTGTACCTTCGTTCAATGTGCAGCTGTAATTGGTGCGGCACATACCATTCACCCATGCCAGACCTATAATTTAAAAACGTATTTTATATAAAATCGGCATTTGAAGCAACCGTGTCTAGCCTTCTTTTTGTCCTTTAAATAAAATATTCTAAGTAATAAGTTTTAGTTCACACAGTAAAAGTGCTGTTTTAAACTTAAAAAGACACTATTATATTTTGACATGAAATTTCTCAGAATATGCGTATTTATAAGAAGGGACGTATAAGTGATGTATGAAGATTAGTTTTAAACGTGAATAAGAGTGCTTAATAAGAGTTCTCGACTGGTTTCTTAATCAGAGTATGTTTTAACACCTTATTTGCACAGCAGCTCCCCCGAACAAACGTGTCTGCATTTCATTGACGATTGCCTCTATGAGTTAAAAACTGTTCTTAACAAGGACGAGGGCACATTTATGCTGTTGCAACCTTGTAAAGGTTTCTTGTTTGTTAACAATAGCCAATTTCTATGCCAGTAGTGCCCGAAATATAAAGTGACTTAAAACAAGCTAAGTTTCAAATGACATTAACTCTCCTTCATTTTAAAGCAAACGAAAATATTTAAAAATTATTTAAATAATAAATTATTTTTTTCACTTTGTTTCAAAAGAAGCTGGAGAAAAATATAAAAACTTCACTCCTTATAGGTGAAAAATGATTTTTCCTAACTTTTTCCTTCCTCCACCTTTTTTTCCTCAAATTCGATACAGCGACTTTGAAACATAGAAAATTTATCAGTAACGAGGTGAAATGAGTCAATGTTTTGAATATGAAAAGGTACAAGTATCAAGATATACCAACCTAAAACTTTCGGATTTCTTTTCCCACGAGTTTGCTTGAACAAATCTTTCCTGCAATGAGTCATAAAAATGAGTTTATTCTCAGTCTAATTTTATCGTCGGTTAAAGCGACGGTAAAATTAGACTGAGAATAAATTGCCCAAGTTTTAGTATGAACAGTATGTTGTATAAAATATGTAAAGTTAATATCTGGAAACTGTTCTACAAAACAAATAATTATATACATATGATTTCAAAAAATTATCCACATAAGTTCTCAAAAGTACAGTTTTCAGGGGAACTAAGAAATACTTTCTGACTTACCCTGTAAGCATTATAGCATGATCCCAGTGCCCAATGCTACCTTCGTGAACGTTTAGTCTACTTTGCCAGACGCAAAAATTATCCAGATATTTATCAATATCTCCATTTTCTGCATTTGGAGCATCCTAAGAAGATCAAAATTTCAATATCTGTAGCATTATTTTAAAATATTCTTTACTAAGTATAGTTTGATGGATATAATGAAAGTGTCCTTTATATGAATAATGGTAAATTTTTGTTCAAAAACAAGCAGTAAACAGATTATTACGAATAAAATGAGAATTATTATATAGATTGGAAGGAAATTTACAGATTATATTTGTGTGAAGGATCTCTACCAGATACTACGAAATAGAACGATTTCAAGAAAAACAGTTTACAAATTATGGTTTTTATACTTTCACAGATCAAAACTAACTCCTCAATGAAGACTTTTTTTTCTAATAGCGTATATAATGGACGAAAGCTAACAGGTAAGCTTCACAATAACATTCTATACGTTCTATGTCTTTAACTGCATTGCTGACCATGCTTCGCAGTAGCAACTCACATCCTTGGAAAAGCCAGATTGAAGTTTAAAAAAAACAGAGGGTGACATACTGTGACTTGAAGTACGTCATTTTTATGTGCGCTATAAATGCTGTATGGTTTAGATCTGATTAATACAGGAGAAATGTTCCACTCTGCAAGTATTTCTTAACTAACGCTTTCTTTCGGGCGAGTATTACCCTCCACAAAGACAAAAGTTACTTCACATATCACAACGGTCAGATTAGTTTTTCGTGCATTCGCATGTCTTCCAACATTGATTTTTAACAGTTTTATTTCGCGTGTAAGCCTGTTTTTTTCCAGTTTTTTCCAAATTAATAATTTTTTTATAAAATTTCTTCTTTGTTAATATTTTAATACAGCGTTGAACTATTTTCGTGGAGCTACAGCTCCTGGTAACTTTTTAGCAAGTTCGCTGCAATGTTTCTACCTATTATTTCATATATTTTTGCAGCATTATGCGCAAAAAATTTTTAAGACCAAATAGGTCTTACGTCTCATTACTTGTTAGCTTTACAATTTCTGTTTCGATTATATTTCTTTTTTAGCAACCTCGAGCGCTAAAAGTTTCAGCAAGTTTTATGTGAATTTCTATTTCATTTTTTTAAGCTCTAGCTTTTAAGTTACCGGATACTGTTTACAGTTTCACTTTCACGATAGGTTAGTCTTCCTTCCAAAAAACACTGTAAAGCAGGCTAGCTCCCTCTTTACTTTCAGTTCACAGGCTCAGATCAATCACATAGAGATAATTAAATGAAGCAACATGCTTTGAAAAACCTGTAAAGCTAATGCTACTCCACTTCCTACTAAAACTTATAAGACACAATCACTATGAAAGACTCACAATTGTATCTACCAAATCACCTGTAAAGAATGTTCTCTCACGTATATAGGTCAAACAAAAAAACCCTCTCAACCTCAGAATTAATAACCATAGATCTCATATTAAAAAATTTTAAAAAACAGCAATAATCTCACAAAAAATAGTCAGCATACCGCAATTCTAGAGCATTATAATATGCATAATTTTGATAACATAGAAATTACTGTGCTTGATATTGTACCGAACACTAAACTTAGACTGTTTAAGGAATCCATCTACATACTTCAAAAAAAGTCACTTTATCCTTACGGACTGAATGCATATCTAAGTCATACCACCAATAGACAGACAGAAGTCTCAATATATGGATAATTCAGATTTTTTAGCAATGTAACGACCAGAGGAACGAGAGGAGGTGATTCCAAAAATAAAAAATTTTTTTCTGCCCAAGATCTGAAATTAATAATTAAAAATCTTCATTCCTTCCTTGAACATAAATAATTTGCTAAGAATGCCATTAAACTTCTACATACATTCAAACACCCTTCTTACGATCAACTAAAAAGGCCTAGCATTTTAAAAAAACATCAACACTTGCTTCCTGACCAACTACTACAAATTAAGCCTGCTTTAAATTTGAAAAGACCTTAGGTCAACTCTTTATCAACCACCACGAGGTACAAGAAAATAGCATATGTAATTGCCAACTACCTCTTTACCATAAATATGTCGATCCTTTCCACCAACATGTTATAACCGGAGATCTTAACATCATTGAAGACTTAGAATTGCGAGCCCTTTCACAACTTGGTACCAAATTTCGTCCTACTTTCAGTATCAATAAACACTTTTGCCTCAAACAATTCAATCAAGATCTAGATAAATTTATCATCTTAGTAAATAAATCCAATTTACCTACTACTACTTTTCTTGAATGGAAAGCTGCTCTGATTAAAGAATTTCAACATTTACTTTTCAAGACACCTTCTTTCAACTCTTTACACAATAAGAAGCAACTCTATAATCTTATTAAAAAACAACAAGATAATTTTATCATTACAAAAATTGACAAAGCTAGCAACAATTTTAGTGTTATTTGAAAAAAGTTTTACTTCAACCTTCTGCAAAAAAGAACTAAATAATAATTGCACTTACCAAAAAATTACTGCCAGCACCAAAATTCTTATCAATAAATTTAACGCACTACATAAAAGACTCGAGATACATCCCCGGAACTATAACAGATTTGCAAATCTCTATGCGCTTCCAAAATTTCATAAGTCTCCTATTAAATTCAGGTTTATTGCCAATAGTACCAAAAGTTATCTTAAAGAAATAGATTATCTTTTTGCAAAAAAACTTCGTTTAATACGTGAATTAATAACTATGATTTTAAGGATCTGCATTGCAACTGGATGATTTCAAGTAAACGAGCTAGTGATTAAGACAATTAATTCACTTAAAATAGACCAGAAACAATGCTACGATTTCGAGAACCTATATACTACCTTACCACTTGAAGAAATCTATACCAGCTTACTTGCTCTACCAGATATAATTCCACAGATTTCGACAATAATTGATACCGAAAAATGGCAACTTTTCTTTCGAGCGTGCTTTTCAATAATTTTATTCTCTTTAACAATAGCATCTTTAAACAAATTCAAGGAATCCCAATGGGAGGTAATTTTTCAAGTGCTGTGTGTGAATTATTCCTTTTCACAAAATAATTGACCTTTGTCCGTTCACTAAGTAAAGAAGAACATAAATTTTACCAACACATCTATCGTTACATTGATGATATCATTGCCTTTAACAACCATAACAAAATAGAAGCGGCTAATATCTACCCAACTTGCTTAAAACTAAATAATACAAATACGGTGCAAAATCATGTACCTTGACTTAAATATTATTGATTACAATTTTATTAAAGTTTACGACAAGAGGAGAGAATTCACTTTTTCTAAACTAAAGTTAACCAACTGGAATTCTAATATTTTCAAAAGAATCATCATTAACACAATTTTTTCACAGCTACTTAGAATAAAAAGAATATGTAATACTACATAACACTTACAAGAAGAAATACTATACTTCGTCACAATTTTGAAAAATAACCAAATTCCTCATAAAATAATTAAAAATACCTTAAAAAAAGCTGACAATAGCCTTACCAATTTTTAGATAATTTGTTTTGGATATTGAAATTTTATACTTAAAGCCCAATGGGACGGTATAAAGTGGATGGCTGATTCAGATAATCTAATGTAAAAATTGTATAAATGTACAGATTATTCTCGCCACTACATTTTCTTTCCTCCAAAGATTTTGGCACTATACTTTAATACTATTGTTTTAATAGTTTTGAATTACTTAGATGGCCGAATTCTACTATTATTAACAAATCGGGCCTTTTCATTTTTCATAGTAGCTTGACCGCCCTCTAGCTTGAAGAATGACGACTTTTATTAACAAATAACTTTTTTCCATTTTACTCTTTCTTTTGTGGCCAAAAAGAGTAATCTTAGCTGAATTAGCCATTTTCACTTATTTGAAGCAGTTTTGTTCTTCTAACAACTTGACTGACGCCATTTTGAGTTCTTTCCATGTCTTTTCGCGTCTCTCACACCCTCTTTAGAAAAGGAGGGGAGTAGAGTTCCCGCCAAAACTACAATCTCAGCCCATTAGCCTATACAGATTAGATTGTTTCACCCACCTACGTCACACGACGAGAAGGAAGGTTGGTAGCACACGGAGAGGATTTGCACCCTTTTCAAATCTGTTACGCGATACAGAGGACGGCACCACCCAGGTCAGTTTTTTAGTTTCTTTTGTTTTATGTGTTTCTTATGATTTTTTGGTCCTAATAAGACCCAACGGCGTTTGTTTTCTTGCAAGTTTAATTGCATATTAATTTGATTACAGCACCATTATCTTTATAAAAGTTTTTTCTTCTTTAAGCTATGCAGGACCAGCCCGTACGTTATTGTAATTTTGACTAATAGCAGACCGCTATTTATTTTATTTTGATTTTAATTTTGCATTGCTCGGAGTTGCATTTACCTTTTTTAACACCTTAATGTGTTTTTCTGCGGACGCGTCGGGTAAGAGGAACAGAGAATTGAAGCTCCAAAAAAGAGTTTTTCGGGACAATTCAGGTTTTTTTAAAAAATTTTACTCATCAAACAAGAGCTTCAATGGTCTGTTTCGGCGAAACGCGTAATGGTATTTGGCCTAGTTCGACACTCAATCATTTTTCCATTGATAAGCCTGGTTGAGGGTTCGAGTGGGTTAATTTACCATTTTCCGCTTTGTAATTATTGTATTTTTGTAATTTTGCAATTTATGTTTACATTATAATTTTTGCATTTTATGTTTTAATATTTTTTGAATTTTTTTGTTTTAACTTGTTCCGTCGATCTTTTTATGTGTATTAACTTTTCACATATCACAACGGTCAGATTAATTTTTTCGTGCATTCTATGTCTTCCAACATTGATTTTTAATAGTTTTATTTCGCGTGTAAGCGATTTTTTTCCAGTTTTTTCTAGATTAATAATTTTTTTATAAAATTTCTTCTTTTTTAATATTTTAATACAGCGTTGAACTATTTTCGTGGAGCTACAGCTCCTGGTAACTTTTTAGCAAGATCGCTGCAATGTTTCTACCTATTATTTCATCTCAACGATACCGTATATTTAGCAGCGACATATATAAACACACTGGTATAGTATTTCATTGCGATATTGAATAAGCAGATACTGATTCATAGACACATGAGCAGACAAGCAGACACATGAGCTCGGGGCACCTTTCTTTGTTAAACATATTTACTCTAGAAAAGCGTCTCTTGTTTGAAATTTCTTTCAAAGATGTTTCCTGCACATTAAGTCCAATGTTCTCTCAGTAATACTCAGAGAATTGTAGAAAATCTCCAAATTCGTTGAATCAGTCAAAATTTTTCAACTATAGTAAATCATCCGGAAACTAAAGAACAATTTCTTCTTTCGGAGGAATTGATTCCATATTTTGTAAAATTATTTTGAGTTTTGTTTTCAACTAAAGCGACGTAATCGTTAATCGTTTTAAACTCTAGTAACATCTTCGTCTCAACCTGAAATCCTTCAAAATCCTAGATACTTAAAATAATTCTTCCGCTGTTCTGTCTTTAATACATTTTTTGGGATTTTTTTTAAACTGAAGAATTTATTCTAGTTTCTAAGATGCTTTCCTTCCTTTAAAATTGATAATTTGCTCTGATTTCTGGAGTCCTGAAATTTAAAAGCATTTACTAGAATACCTTGTGTTTTTAAAATACATTTTCTAGACTATCAGTTGATTTGTGAGTAAGTAATAAATAATTTTTATATTTCACTTAATATCTGTGCTTGACAAAATTGTTATGTAAAGATACGCATAACTGCCGTATTCATGGGTCTGCCATAAATTTAATAATGAGCATTGCTTTACTCAAAACCGAACTGTTACTCACCAAGATGAACAGATTATGTTTTGTAGTTGGCCTATAAATTTTATCAAAAGTCTCAAGTTTCAGTCTGTAGTAGGCATTGAAAAATTATCAAAGTTATAAGGTATTTCTCCCGCCTTCCTAGCATGCCCTTGGGGTGTAGTGGTTCTGCACGCTGGGCCGGTGTTTCAGAGGTCCGCGGTTCGATTCCTGGCGAAGGTGTTGCTAATTTTTCATCTGTCCCGCCAAAAAAATACCTAATGTCTCTACAAAGTAATAAATTCTCTGTCGATTATGTTGTACTCAGAGTTATTTAATTTTTGAAAATGTAATGAATATTTACGAACTAGAGTTTTTATCGTGCGAGGGCCATTTAAAAAGGCTAGATTTTTTTTTTTAATTTATGGAATCTGCAGTACTAAAACTGCTTTGAAAGTGTTAAGGTAAACGTAATTCAGACATATTTTAAGAAAATTTGTACTTGGAATTATGTGTTTAAGGAACAGCTTAATGATCTGAGAACTCTATAAGCGTATATTACTGATATGTAATTCAGACATATTCATGCACTTCATGCTGGTTTTGTAGTTTAAAGAGGTAATTATGTTATGACAGTAGCACTCGAAGACTAACCTTCTATAGAAGTGGTGTGTGTGATTATGGCAAAGCCTCGAGGGCTATCTGCCTAAGGGGAGGGATGCCTTCGTGGAGGACTTTCTAAGGGAAACTGGCTCGTATACACGTTACACATGGGGAAAACCACGAAAACGCCCATGCAGCTAACCCGTTCGCGGGATTCCAACCTCGGACCGAACTACCAGTGTTCAGCGACTTTACTGCCTTCTATAGAAATATCACATTGTGAAAGAGGACGTATAAGATAACTGACATTTATTCACTTTTTATTCGAGGTAAACTATCAATTCTAGGTAAGACACAATTTTTATAGATCATATAAATACTTTCTTTATATGCTACTATATGATGAGCAAATTTCAATTAGTATGCGTTAATATGTAATAATTTATACTATCTACACAAATCAAATTATTAATAAATATCAAGTAAATCTTTGTAATGAATAAGAATGAATCTGAATAAACTTGTACTAATTTGGAATAAATTTTTAATAAAACTTCGTAATTCATAAAATTCCGAAAGAAAATTCATACACACCTGACTAGACTTCAGAATTTCGAGTTTGACGACCACAAACTTGAATTTAGTTTCTAGAGATGGATAATTGTAAATCAGTTGCACCTATATGTAAATTAAATTGTACAGTTTAAGACAAAAATTAAGAGGATGCTTCAAAATTTAAATCCCGCTAATTATGTCTTGGATTAGAAAGGAAAAGCAATAAGGAAACATGGTTAAGGATAAGGTTCTAAATCCAATCTAAAAGTACCACAGAGCTTCAAGTGCAAATAAAAGCGGATTACTTTACCTGGTTCAGAATACCAAGGACTCGGCGTATTGTAGCTGTGCGAGCATCAATAGCTGCTGTAGCCTCTATCCTCTTATATAACTCATTATCTACAAAAACAGCGAGTTCAATAACTTTGCGCTGAGTTGTTGATGATGAAGGTGGTGCCCTTTTCATGCGATTTTGCCTTGAATCAGACTCGGGGTCATCGTATAAATTGTCATCCAGTCTCGATACAACTCCTGAGTTAGAAACGTAATTTATTTTAGTAAAGGTAATTTGCTGTTTTCATTGTGTAATATTTTCTGTAAAAAAGTTTTTGATCATGTTTTAACTCATAAAACCAGTTATGGTTTTTTAGTTCCGTTCAGTAAAAACCATTATAAAAAATTTTAAAAAAATACACAAAAAAAAAAATCCGAAAGGTTTCAGATTTTAAATTCCGTCCAAAGGGGTGTTTTTTTAACGTTTTGTGTGTTATCTTTATTTATTAAATATCATGTTCTGTGCACTTAAACGATAAAATTCAGTTCAACAGCAGTGTCGCAAAATAATTTTAAAATGAGCATATCTTTAGAATTTCCGATACACAGTTCCCGCGCTGGAGATAAAAAGGTTTTTTTTCTCCGTAGAGTGCTCGCTTTTAACTCTTTGAGTTTGTTAATCCAAAATTCGTTAAAGTTTTACAAAATATGAAATTGATAATAAAACAAATTCCAGATTTTAAATTTGGGCTTTAAGATGCCCATATTCGCAGTAGTATTACGTCATTCAGAATTGGATAGCTCTAGGTATCGTTGTTTTATCACAATGCGAGAAACATACATACATTTATTTATACATACATACATTTATTTATACATACATACATTTTCATTATTTAATTTCTTCAAATATAATACAGGGCGATAGTAGTTAGTGGCAACGATTTGAAAAGTGATACGCCATTTATAGTGTTCCGACGCAAAATGGCAAAACGAAAACAATAGTCCTTCAAAAACAAAACCCCTTTGGACTAAAAATATTCTTTGGTTTTTCACGTGCGCAATATGTACTTCACGTGCGTAATACGTGTATGTATTTCACGTGCGTATGTACTTCACGTGCGTAATATGTAATAATCTTGTTACTTCCTTGTACGAAGTAAAAATTAAGTATTGTAATCGCGAAAAGTTTAAGGCAGCATATTTCAACGAAAATATCCATTTTGACCGCTATCGAATGCAATTTAACGATGTTTTAGCATGACATCTGTACGTAAGGACAGAATAAAGACTGTTTTCCTCCAAAAAAAAGTTATAAAACTGCTTTAAAATGAATCTAAGACACTGTCCGTAGAACGCATGCCACACTCAGAGCTCGTTAAGGGCTTCTGACGTATAAATGAAATATCAGCGAAAGCCCATGCGACTTTGAAAATTAAGACCGGTTACTAGATGCGTTTAATGATGTGATTGCTTACTGTAATGAACTGATGTCTTTAAGGATAAGAATAATTATTAAGTAATGTTTCAAAGAATGATGGCACTCCAAATTAGATTGAAATTGTAGCAGTGTTTCATATTAAGATACACTCAGAAGTACATTTCTAAGATTTCAAAACATTCTAATTGAATTTCAGTATATTTACTAATAATAGTAAGTAAACTTCAAATGCACTTGCAATGCAGTAAAATGCATGTAAAATGTCTAGAATTAGAAATATCTAGAATTAGAAATGCTAGATATAAAATGCGAAGAAAATATTTTTAAGTGGGAATGGATTGGATTATTTAATTTAGACAAAGCATATACCCGATTGTCTGCCTGGGTTCCGTCCCAAATTTGAATAAGGGTCCCTACAAGGGTAAGTGGGAAATTTGTATATCCTATCTACCTGAAGTAAAATATGCAGCGCTTCACGAGCAATCCATGCTCATGAAGTTTTTTTCATTTTCCGTAGATGAATGTAGTTTTTCAAAAAGAAATACCACGAGAGTATTTTTCTCTTGTCAAAGTATTCAGAAAGTAAAATAATAACAAACAGCTCAGACTAGCGTCTTGAGTATAATATATTCACAGCAACAGGTACTACGTCTATCACCGTAGATATGAGTTACATTAGTGTTCGTAAATGTGGCTTGATTTTGAGAGTCTCGTAAAACGTTTGTATTTTTTCATAAATACTTTTTTGTATCAAAATGAAAATTCAGTTTTCTTATATGTAATCAATTTTATCATGTGTTTTATTTCAGTCGATAATAAATTTTACTCTCGGTATATCATTATTCTATGTATATCAGTATTTATACTCTGTATATAAGTATTTATACTCTGTATAGCAGTATTTATACTCTGTATACATTTCCTGTTACTCTCTGCAAAAGTATAGCCTACATACTTTTGCAGGATATGGATATTGGCACATCATTCTTGGGCCATATTACCAAGAAGCTTTGAATTTGTCACTCCTGAGCTTTAATTTGAATAAATATTTCGATTGCCATTCATCTATGGTGCGTAAAGTTTAACTTTAGTTTGCTAATTAGTCATGGTGTTTAATTAAATCTATTTTTACTCATTTATGCTTGATTCTGGATGAAGCGAAAGAGTGTAAATAAAAATAAGGTATGAAAAAGAAATATAAGACAGTCTTACATAGCAAAGCAGATAATTTACAATATGAACTAACATTATTGAAGTTATATGGCTTTATTAAGATGCAAGGCACTCTACCAGTAGTCAAGTGGTTAAGACTGCTGATTTTCGTGGTTTTTCCTATGTGTAACTTGACTACGAGCCACTTTCCCTTAGAAAGTTCTCCTCGGAATGTAACTGCTGCTAAAAATCAAAATTAGAAGCCAATCACGTTGAGTAAGGGATCGATAATTAAATAATTGAGGAGAATCTAATTGTAATTCAAAAGTCAGGAAAGCGAACGCTGAAGAAACCTATAAAACACTCTGAAGGTTTGGTTTGGTTTATATTAATTACAGCAAGGCATTCGAGGGTTATCTGCCTAAGGGGAGGGATGACTTCGTGGAGGACTTTCTCAGGAAAACTGGCTCGTATCCACGTTACGTGTCTGGAAAATCACGAAAATGCCCAAGCAGCCAGCCCGTTTGCTGGGAACCGAACCCAGGTCGAATTACCAGGTGTTCAGCGATTTTACCGCTCGACTGCTGTTGGGCAGTACCTTGAAGGAATCGGTTAGGTAAGGTTAGGTTATTTGAATGTGACAAACACAAGTGAGGGATGCCTTCGTGGAGGACTTTATAAAAGAAACTTGCTTATGTTCAAGCTGCATTGTTACCCAATGCCACGAAAATTAATCATGCAGCCAACTCATTCGTTTGGGATTGAACAATCGCCAGTATTGAGCGGTCTCAACCCCTCGACCACTCGGGGAGGTCCTTGAAGGCAAGGGAGAACTTGCTGTTTTGCAAACAATAGCCTTTGAGTTGTAATTACATCATGAGTAGACTGCAAGTTGTTTGTTTTTCATAAGAGTCTAAATGGACTTGACAATAAGTTTCTTTAAGTTCTTTTTTTAGAGTAAATGTGTCGTGGAAACACAGTAAGACTTTACAAAAATGTTTTGTTCTTTGTAAATCCGAATTTCCTATGACGAACATTTCGGTTAACGACAGGAAAACTTTAGATCTTTTTTAACATAAATTCTCGTACGAGAGGATTTTATGTGCTGTGAAAACTGGCTTTCTTCTTCGAATTTACAATCTAAGCATTTGAATGCAGCTACACAAAGAAAACTTTAATCAAATACTATGCAGGAAGTCATTCCTTCTTTCTTTTATTGTAAGGTTTTCCATAATGCAGCCCTTAATAGTTTCGGAAAGAGAAAGCAAAGATAATTTAATAGATTCAAAAATTTGAACTGCTTTAGTTTTATTTTAAATCCGTTCACATTAACAACGGCAGGTAAACATTCCTTTACGCATTTTTATGTTGTGGATTAGGGGTTAAATTATAAGATCAGGCAATGCACCCGAGGGAAATCTTGCGTAGTGCAGGCATGCCTTCGTGAAGACTTTCAGAGGAAAATTCGCTCATATTTAGGCCACACACGGTGAAAATCACAAATGTGCCCTTGCGGCCAGACCGTCTGCCGGAATCTGAACTTGGGTTGAACTTTCAATGTTCAGTGAACTTATCCACTCGGCCGCTAATAGAAGTTAAGTGATGGGATGTTTAGTAAAAAGAACGCATCAAAAAATCTTAAAAAAACTCAGTTTTCAGTTATTTAGATAGAGTATCATTTCTGAAGAAGTTTTGCATGGACCCGTTATTAAAGTTCAGCCTGAAAATTTTGCCAAGTATTTGGACTACCGCGATTTTAGAAGCAATAGTGGATGGTTGAGTCGCTTAAAAAACAGGCATAACATGGTATTCACCAAATTATTGGAAAAAAAATTTCGTAGACAAGGAGACTACTGACTACATTCAAAACGTATAGCCTAAATTAATATCCGGGACGCCCAGCCCGTATAGTGGTAAGTGGTCTTGACTGACGTAGCGATGAGCCGGGGTTCGAATCCTGGAGGAAGCATGGTTATAACTGTTTTTTCTTTCGTAGGAGGCAACGGTGGCCACCTATTAGGTGATTCTAAAATGAAATGGCCACCACTTCTGTCCTTTGTAGTGGCGCAAGGCTAATGGCTGTTAAATAAAGCACCTGGTCATTAAAAAATAAATTAATGTCCAGAAAAGCGAAGATAACGTATTCAATAAAGTTGAGATAACTGTTCATAAAACATCTTAATTCAAAGGCGAAAAGAGCTCTAGAGATAAGAATGATTAGCGCTTTCGGCGTGTGCTAATATGACAAGCACTGAATAGCTCAAGTTTTTGGAAAATCAATTAAGCGATGATGCTTCAATATGCTAAAAGTGTTCCTGTCGTTTCCCCTGTGGAAGGGGCGGTGCCAAAACCAACAAGCTCTATAATGAACATAACTTCTTGCACTGTAAATAATCTGTAACCATATGTTAATGCTATGTCCTATGTGTCGACGTATGTTGTAACAGTATGATGTTCTATGTCTTATTTGTTGTTAGTACTCTGTCCTATGTGTTGAAGTATGTTGTAACAGTATGATGTTCTATGTCTTATTTGTTGTTAGTACTATGTCCTATGTATACCGTAATCAGGTCCCCTGTGGAAGGGGCGGTACTCTAGAGAGGTAGTGCATGGGGGCTATACTATTTTTGTCAATGGCGATGGCGTGGTGCCCCCTGTACTTGTTCCTGTCCTGTCCTGTCGTTTATAGATTCGCGAAGCGTGATTCATACCCAAAATATTTTTTAGTTTTCAAATAAAATGGACAGGAAATGACTCAAAAAGCAGAGGAAAATTCCTTTGTTAATAGAAACCTGAGACAAAGGTGAATCTATTAGATGCAATTTATCTGTTAGAACTATACTATAGTATTTTCTCCCTCATTTTAACATGACTTTTGGGTATAATTGGAAGCATACTTGATGTTTATTCAAGAGGTCAAGGACTCGAGTCCCGGCGAGGGCACTGCAAATTTTTCAGGTATCCTGCTTTTTTTTTTTTTTTTTTTAAAAAAAGAATCCTAATAACTGTGTAGACTGATACATGGATGCACAAGACAAATGTTACCATTCAGAACTCATGCAGGTCATAAAAATTTAATTCGCTTTAGATAAAAACACAATTTCTAATTGTAAGGTTGATGATATCAAAATACTTTAAAAAAGAGGCATTTATTTTTATAAAGATTGTCTTTACTTAGACAATTTTGTTAGCGTAAATAATGAAGTGGAGACGATGGGTATACTAACAGAAAAGACTATTTTACAAAAACCCAAGAAAAGTGAGGTACATCAGACAAAATTCGAAAATTTGCCTATGAATCATGATCAGGTTAAACGATCATTAGACTTTTTAATGCAATTTTGTGAAACATGTCCAGAAAATGAAAACGCTTAAAAGACATTAGGTATTTTACTTAGAGGTATAAAGCAATTTAAAATTAATATATGAAAAAGCAAAAAGATACTTAGCGACTTTTTAAAAATCCTTAAACACTTTTAGACACAATTTAAGTGATTTAAGATTTTTCGTATGTATTGTTTTTTCATATTAGTTCATTTTTGGGGTATTGTTATTCACTTACAGATATTATGAGCAACAGCTAATAAGAATAAATTACCAACATTTTAATTTCTCCTATTATAAGGTATTATCACGTTTTTCTTTCCGTGCTACCCCACCAGTGGCAGAGCGATGAAAGACTGCTGAATGATGCTACTTCATCCGAGAACTCAGGCATACGGGTTGGCTGCATGGTTGATTTTCATGGGTTTTCACGTGTGCAAACTGAATACGAGCAAGTTTCCCTTAGAAAGCCGTCCATGAAGGCATCTCTCCAGAGAGGTGGGTCACCACCTTATTGAGCTCGTTAATTTGTAACTATGTAACTCTGAAATAAATCATTCAATTTTTCTGGAACTTTAATAATTTTCTATTCTGTACATAATCTTACTATTCACCATTTTCCCCCTCTATCGGAAAACTCCTTCTTGGTGCGTCGATTTTTTTTTGTTATAGAGTGTATTTTAATGATTATTGTAATAAATAAAACATATTTTTAGTAAAACTTAATATGCATAACATTTAATTATACTCTCAAAATTATCAGCAGATTTTTAAAAAGGCACATTAAAATACTTTGGAGATCAACAGCAGAAAATAAAAGTAAACTCATAATAAAAAAATGAAAGAAAGCAAAACAAAATGCGTTAAGTCTTATAGCATCATGAAATGTAACATGATTATGAATTATGAAGCATAAAACAGCTGTTGCGCGCGTATGGGTTCGTAATAGATTGAATGCACACAGAACTGATGAACTTAGAGCAGGTGCTTTGTCCGGTCTTATATAGTTTTCACCTGGCCGCCGAGAAATCGCTAGTAAATTCCATTTCTTGAAATTACTAGAAGGCATGTACGGTTAAAGTAACATCTAAGGGTCGAGTCCGGGTAGAGTTGCATAATTAGATCAATTACAGTTATTCACTCGCAATACCCATTACAGTAATACAGGGACCGGACCAAAAATGTCGCCACGTCCGGCGACTTTTAGCTATTTCTCGCCAAATTTGGCGACAAAATTAGTCCCCCAAACCATCGCCAGCTTGGTGATGTCTCGCCAGTTTAGCGAGTTAGCCATTTACTCACTGTTAAATAGGCATATCCCTGTATTCTTACTTTTCCGGCAAATCTTCGCTTCTTTAGATTTTCATGTTTCATTATACACACAAACAAAAAAAAAAAAAAAAAAAAAAAAAAAAAAAAAAAAATGCTACAGTTTCACATATAATTTGACTAAAATTATTTACATGCATACAAAAATTGGTACCACAATGTCTACGTTAATTTAATTAAAAGTATTTATTGTAAAAAAAGTATTATTGATATTTACACCAAGGAAATCAATAATTTTCGATTATATCGCCATTCCTCGTTGAATAATACGAGGTGTATCAGTAAAAGAAATCTTAAATCTGAGCACAATTCTCTTATAAACAAATAAAAAACTGTGTTCAGGTTTAAAGTCAAACAGGAAAAAAAAAATTAAGAGGCAAAAATTATAAGCATTCCATACTTTTCGCCTTATTAGTTCCACAGAATTTCAAGTTTTCATCGGAAGCTTCAATAAGGAAGTGGGAGCTGGAATTACTTTTCTGTTCTTGCCTCAGATTATCCTTGAAAGAAACCGGGCTCAAGAAAAAAGTCTTTTCGCCAGTCATCAGTACACCCGTCTAGAATATGGCAATAATGAACATTTAATGTCGACAATCATTTAAAGAAACGTATTCACTAAATAAATGTATACTACTATTTAAAAACTGCCGGTATATATATATATATACTTTATAACGGCAAATTACGCATATTTCATAGTCAACACAGCGTTCTAATAGATGTAAATTGAACGATGTGTCAGTTCGTAATGCATCTAATTTATAGATGAATTTAGCCACCATTTCTCCCTGATTAGACCTGTAATGCTAGGAATAATAAGAAATTTGAACATCTTACTTAAATGATGCAAGGTGATCCAATAGTTGCTTTATCCGTAAAGTTACAAATAATGTTTCAGCAAATGAAGCCAAAAATTTAAAGATGAATATAATTCAGTTAAATTTTAATCAAACACTGAACTGTCGCGTTTTTATAGAAGTGGGTGCAAACAGTTTCCGATAGGTGAAGAAGCGACAACATATTGTAGTTGGCTACGCACGAGTAAGCACTGTCGTCGTGGAGAATCCAATTCTTAGCACTCCAGAGACCGGCCGCTTTCACCAAATTGTGTCTCTCAGCCGCCGAAAAACTTCGAAGTTAAACTTTGTGATGGTTTGGCATTGAGAGATTAACTCGCAATGAATGCTGCGGACATCACGATGTGTCACGACGAAGTAAACACGAGTTTACAACGTCGTGAACATGATGTGACAGTGTTACAAGAATGGCCTTCGTTACACTGCTGCTCATTCTCTCTTTCGGTCGTGGAGTGGGTTCTTCCATTGCGACAATCACCTCAACTAGTGATGATCCTGATAATGAAGGATGGATTATTCGAGGTACGCTCGTACAGGCCTTGGAACATTACGACGCGATATTCCTTCTGTTCAAAGATCAACAGTCGGGAGCAAGCATTTCAACAACATGCTGCTTGTTCGAGACATTAAGATTGATCCCTACAATATAAAAACAATATCTGCGATGTCAGTGATCGTCTTCAGACAATCCGCATGCAAACGTTCCAGAATTTATTTAATAGTTTCGCGGGTGATGCTTGTGGAAAGTCTTCTTGATCACTCGTCGGTTTCAAGAAATGTTCTTCGGCCTTTGAAGCTTTTGTGCAACTCGAAACATTGCTTACGACATATTACACTCTGAAATATGTTCAATCTTTCTGTGGCCGATTTTTCCAGCTTAAAGCAAAATTTCTTGCTGTATTTGTCGTTCTATTTTTCTTTTCTATCCATGACATTAAGCGAAGACTAATACACACATGTGGTCCACCGCTATACCTCCCGATGCTAACAGAGCAATGTTTCTCGGAGTACTGCCTTATCAAGATTAAAGGTCCCTTTAGCTGTCAGCTAAAGTGACAGCTAAAGTTCAACGGCTGTTATTTTTTAAAAACTACATAGTTTATTCGGGAAATTTTTTTTTTATCAAGTCGTACGCACAAATCCTCACACACTTTTTAGAATATACAGGAAACCATTCAGATGGAAATTATTGTCATGCTTGATGAGATGTTGCAACATGTTTCCTCCAATATGTGCTATTTTGCTCATTTATGTAAACAGGAGAAGAGGGCTTGAGTAACAGATTTTGGGCATTTATTGTAATTTCCACGTAAAGAGAATCAACTGATTTATTTTCAACTTTAACAAAAGCATGTAGTTTCGTTTGCTGAAAATAAGTATTTACAAATTTATGAGAAAAGTTACTTTTGCATCATCCCGCACTTAATATAGTTGTTGAAAATTAGTATTTGCAGATATATGAGTAAATCCCTTCTTTGATTATCCCGCTTTAATACAATTTAAGTAATATATTGAAATGTCTTAGTATCTTAAATTATTGGCAGCATTGGGACCATTTATGTATTACAGAAAATAAACTGACATATAAATTGCTAGGAAACTACTATCAGTTAACTGCTCATGCCTTGCTACTTGGTTTCAAATTTAGATCAAACTTCGAATGAGAGCTCAGAGTTTTGAATTTTTGATAAGTTGATTTTGCAGTTTTTGATTTTGCAAATAAATTTTTTGAATTTTTGGCTAAATAAGTCATATATTTATAATAAAATTCCGTAAATTCCATACTTTTACCCCCATTAAAACACGTTGGAAGTTTTTTTTATATGAAGTCTGTATTTAAAAGGCCGTAAATTAGAAATCTTAATTGCAGTTTTCTCAGTTTTGTATTTTTAATTGCTTTAATCTATTCAAATTTGTATAACTGCGATGATAATTTGAGTAAATATTTTGTAATTTCTTTTGTTGATTTTGTTTAATAAATGTTACAACACTTTACAAGATATTAAGATTTTGAAATATAGCCCAAAATATTAAACAAAAAATAAAGCGTCCATTTATTTTAAAAAGTAAAAGCAATAAATTTCATTTCAATTAGGATTAAATCTGAAATAATGTTTTAAAAATATAATTAGCTTTAAAATAGAGTACTGAGCAACAGTTTACTACCCTAAGACTGAGTAAGTTATATATATATCAGTTTAAAATTTATCAATTCTAAGTAATTCTTTTTTTTCTTTTTTTAATTTAAAAAAAAAACTCACTTTTCAGTAAGTTAAAAAACATCCTTTTCAAGAAAATTTTAAGTTCTTAAGAAACAAGAAGCATACTTAATATAATTTCTTTTTATTTTGACATATTTAAATAAAAATTTAATGTACTTTCTTGCTAGAAAGAAAAAATTCAGTGATATGTCCAATTAAGTAAATTTTAATTACGTTTTTCTGTAACTCATAGACATATTTGCATTTGAGAATTAATTTAGGATCGTCTTCTTTATTTTGGTACGCATTCGATTAAATATATTTGATGTAATTTCTAGCTTAATAAAGATTAAATAAAAACTTGCAACAAAATGAAAATTGAATAGTCCTTTAACTAAGTTTTAGTAACATTTCCTTACAAATTCTGGAAAATTTAGCATTTAGAATTTAGTTTTCAAACTAGGATTGTAGATTACTTGTTTTTGCATCTCAGAAAGCATCTACTGAAAGCAAATGTACAATAGCGTTGCTTGATAAAATTCCACCACAACAAGGGTTATGAAAACAAGTTACTCTATTATGCAATCATTTGCAGTCTCTAGTCTAGTCGTATAGGGCACATAGGGTAATACTTTCAGATACTTAAGGTACCTCTTGAATTCTGAGCATTAATTTTTTTAATTCTGAGCATAAATTTAATCTTTAGTCAATGCTTTAGTTTAAAACAAGTATTTTCTATAATTAAATAATTAATTATTTGACCTTAAATCAAATACATCGCTTTAATCAAGTCTTTAAAACTAATTTCTAATAAAATATATTGTCATTCTTTTGTAACTTGAAAAAATGTTTGCTTTTATTATACAGAGCTAATCTCATCCGTTTCTGTTGTTGACTAATGCTCACTTGTCTGACCTACAATCAGCGCAAGCCTACGAAATTTCTTATGGCTAGAAGAGCAAGCTACGCCTGTCTTTGGCCTTGAGCACCTTATACAGATGACAGTGTGATTTAGCTCAGTTCAGCCCCCAGGTACAATGGAAAGCAGCCCAGGGGAACGGGTCCGAGAGTCTCCCACCTCTCTTCCCCTACCACAACCTCTCGAGAGGACTTTCGGTTCTTCGCATATTTAGAATGCCTCCATGCTGCACGAACACTATAAATTTGCAAACATCCATGCCTATTTCGGGATTAGAGCCCGAGCACTTCGTCAGCATTACATAGCTGACATGTTGGATCGTATTGTTTTCACCTTCAAGATCTGCCTGAAATCAGAGTAAATAACATGTCGGTGCCCGACCACAAGAAAGGCGCAGAAAGATTTAAGGCTTTTAAATCAATTTAAGAAAACTTATTATTTAATGCTATTTTTCTTATATTTTGGATCCAGATCACAACCTGTAAATTCATAAGAATTTAATTATCTTTAATATTACCCATTTCGTATTTTAATATCATTAAAGCAATAAGCGTTAAAACAGTTTCAGAACGCTTTGAATATATCTTCGAAGACATGGTTCTCTAAGAATTGTTTTAAGAATACGTAACTAGTTACGTAAGACGGCATTTTAGACCGAATATGCTGTAAGCTAGATTTACTGCTTGTTTTCTATAATGTTAGTTTTCATAAGAATTCAATATACAATCCTGAATTTTGTTATTTTATAGAAAAGCATCAAAATCATATTCAAAATAAGTACTCATCTTATACTTTACAGTCTGTAAAAAAATTCAGATCTTGAGAATCGAAATACTAAAGGTTAATTTCCACTTACCAAACTTCCATCTTCGGAGCATGCTGAAATCGCCGCTTGTCCGTTTGGTTTGCTAATGATTTTACCATGAAAGTGACATCGACTTCGGTGATATTCGAAAGTGATTCCATTAACGGTAACGGGAATTTCCACTAGTTGCTCATTTAATTCGAGTTCGACATAGTACGTAACATTAGGAGCTCTCAAAACAAGCATGGCTGCTGCGTTATCTTCCGAATTTCTTCGTTTTCTTCTCGATAAAGTATATATTTGTGGGTAAACTACTTTATATTCAGTTCCTGTAAAACAGAGATTAAGAGTAAAATGTGAAGCATATCGTTATAGCTTATCAAATAAACTTTTAGATTCTTCATAAAAAAGTTACATTTCAGGTAATTTACTGCGCTTCGAACATTATGTTTTCAGACTAAATGTTAGGAGCTTAGAGGCGTACGAATTAATAAGTTACATATATCTACCATAATCGTGTTTCCATTGTTCAGCGATAATTCGTGAGTTCGTATTAGGAAAGTTTATTATAAATCACTAATAACGTGAAATAACGATATATCAGATAGTCTTCGGAATGAAATGTTGTGCATGTCTTAATTTTACGTTGCTTTGGAAATTACTTTCAGAAAAGCTCATATTAAAAGGTGAATGATTTCTATGTAAATAAATAACCATTAAAAAGGCGAAGAAGGCAATTAAGCAATTAACTCTTATCGTGGTTTAGTGATAAAATTTAATATCAAACCATCGATAAGATCTGAACATTATGTATGGCAGTATGGCATATTCTTAATATAATGATAAAGCTGTGATTTAGATTCATAATGTATAATATATAGAATTACTGCAGGCATCAGTTTATGGAGACTGCAGTTATTCCTAGCTGATGGTATAATCTTAAATAAAATTTCAGCTCATTTGTTTGTTTAATTAAATACAAAAAATCAACAAGGGCTATCTGCTTAAGGAAATGCTGGCTTGGAGAAGACTTTCTGAGAAAAACAGCACTAATCCTCGTTACACATGGAGAAAAACTACGAAAATATCCATACAATCAACCCGTTTGCTGGGACCTGAACCGGGGTTAAACTACCAGTGTTTAGCAGTCTTAATCAACTCTGGTGGTAAATTTCAGTATAAAAAGGCTAAAGTACTTTTCGCCATGCTGCTTATACTTTAAGTACTGGTGACCAAAGCTAATTTCGGTTTGTGATATCTATGTACGAAAAGAACAAAAAACCAATATCAAAGAGCATTTTTTAAAATTTTGCTTAATTTTATTCGTATAAGAGGTGAAAGTTTCTTAGCAACGTTAGAAGACATTAGTATCCAGATTCATAATTTACGCATCTTAGTATACAACCTAATTACATAAGATAGAACAAAGAATGAAGTTCCAAGAAGAATTCATTTAATAATAAATTCAAGAACATCTTTTCTACCTTGTTGTAGCCATAGCTTCAGTCTTGCCTTAAATAATACTGCATATTTAAATATTTTAAGTGGTCTTTTAAGACTATAATTTCTCTTTCTGTTTAAAAATTGCCAAATATAACATCATAACTGTCTAAGATGTTATTTTCATATGATACAATATAAAAAGTGATTTGAAAATATCTGGCAAAAGATATAAAGGGGACTAAATAAGCAGATTTTACGATTCAAGAGCTGTCTACTAGGTAATCGTTCTCTGTATATCCTTTGAGCAGCTTCTCCGCTTTTGTGTTGTTGCTTATTCTCGAAAGATCTAACATATGTGAGATCAGCTCCAGAAGGTTGTTGACCGCCAAAAAATCTATAATAATGAGGGGATTGGATGTTAAGTCCCCCTTAGAAAGTCCGATGCAGCTTAGAATGTGATCGGTGAAGTTGGATGGTCACAGCATTTTTTACAAATGGGGTAGATTTTTCTGCCACTATCAAGGAAAAGACGTTTAAGTTGGCCACTTGTTAGTCTAGACAGAGCATTCTGGGAGCCACGGTCACATTTGATTTCCAGCAAAGAGCGAGGGGATGTTCTGGTGTACCTTTGATGCGTATGTGGAATACGCCATATTAAGTTGAGTTTAGATTTTTCATTTGAGTGTAGTTCTTGATAAGTAAGCGAAGAGTCAGTGGCCGTTTTATTCTCACTAGCCTCTTTGGCCAGTCCATCAGCGATTTCATTACCACCAATGTTAACATGTGATGTGATCCATTGGAGCTGGACGTTGTGGATCTGAGAGATCTTCTTCAGTTTGAGCATAGATACGTTGGTTTCATCATTTGCGGAGAACCAGCCACTAAGATGTTGTAGTGCACTGCGGCTATCCGATAAAATCCATAGTTCCTCCAGATCACAATCATAAGACATGATAGCATCAAGCCCTACATTAGCCTGTTAGCCCATAACCATCTTATTCGCTAGGGGTTTCATCCTCTGAAACTGTAAGACCTACTTATGTTATTCCACATAAACTAAATTAGATCCTACAATGAACCTGGCGAATTGTCACACAGGCGTGAATAAATTACCAGCACAGAAGAAAGGGTGAAAAATAACCCTTTATTAATTCAAACTAATTTAACAGAAAGGCACGGACTTCATGCGTTACAAAAACACCGTCCACTTGCGGTGGGTCAAAAGGAATTAAATACGAGCCAATTGAAATAAATAGTGCAAGAACGCACATAAATTTACGCCTAAGAGGTGGTCTCACAGAAATCTAACCGGCGTGTTACTAATCTGATAAGACCAACAGGCTTACTAGCGTGACCGCGAAATAACAATGAAACGTGCGCTTGGCTATCGAAACACGCTCTGAAAAAAAAACTGAGATATTCACACGTTTAAATAGCACTTCACTTAACTTTAAATTTATATCTTGGCGAGAGAATGTGAGTTGAAGTTGAGAAGTTTAGAATAGGAAATCAAACTTAAAATAAATTTGTTATGCAAAATAAGGAAAACGCTACAAAACTATTGTCCTATTTTATTAAGATAGCTCTACGAGGTCAGTATTTGGATAACCAGGTTATGACAAATAACAGAAATGGCATTCTTTCAATGTTTCCTGGAATGGCAGGAGAATTATGTGTTTTGATGGAAGTTTCTTAGAAGGTGAATAGGTAACAAGTTTCTGCACTTCAAACAGAACCACTTAATGCACAATTTCGGCCAGCGTTTTGATCATGCAAGTATTGGTTTGTATCTGATACAAATTATCACAAATGGCAAAACATCGTGATTTGGGAAGGGTGCACATTCTACTTTGACGTTCTGCCTTTTAAAAAAGTGCGTTTCGAACATCCACTGACTTACTGTTACATTTATTATTAACTGGTTATACGATACACAGGAAACTCTAACAGTTTCATTATTTAATTATGATAGTGCTCTTAAGGATTATCTACTTGCGTGATTTCCGTGGAAGAAATCTGCAGAAGTTCATATGTCGTAGATGAAGGACTCGAAAGAAGTCCCATGCATCAAGATATTTCCACTAAATAACATGATGCAAGATAGCATGGCATCAAATTTATACAGTGATGGTTTATTTACTGGCTGAGGCCATCACAATTTGGCAAACTTATTCGGTTGTCTACAGTGCAATTTTTAAATGATCTTTTGAGTTAGGTTAACTCTTCGTAAATGTTATCTGGTTTCGTCATCATTTTACTATTCTTAGAAATGCATAGCGGTAATGTTTCAAACTTTTATTACAATAATGAAAAAAACTATGTATGTTAAACAAGAATTTCTTTTATCTAAAATATTCTCATTATCTGCTATATGTTTAACACTGCACTGATGAAAAGTTGGTGCAACGAAAATTGCTGTAATATTGAAAATATATATTGATATATTCCCTATATAATTGTTAACTTCTCATCAGTAATTAGGCCTTCAAAATTTCAAAACCTACATATTCTTACCTTTTCATTGAATACTGTCAAAGTTTCAGAAATAAATTTTCTAAACGCGTAAATGATTGTTCTAATATGTTAAAAAGTACATAGACAGTAATTTAATTTTTGTACGAATAGAAAATATGCGTTTTTTTAAATATGGATGCAAAGATTTATCATTGAACTTACTGGAAATTAATTTGTCGGCGTTATTATTTAAATCACTGAAAAATCGATTCATTTTATGAGACTAGAAGAAAAGATAAACTCGTTACGTGAGAGTGAACCTTAGCTGCGCGGTTTGTGTATCTTGTGTGACAGTAACATCAGAACACGCCAACGAAATTCTTCGTGGCAAAGGAGTGCAAGATTGCGTCTGTCGTTGGCAAGAGCCTTGAGCACCATATAGGTGACACCTAGACTTTGCTCAGGTCCCCCTCCCCAATTTAATGGAGAGCAGTCTGGGGGGGGGTCTCCCACTCCTACCCCCTCTTTCTCTACCAGCAACCTCTCGAGAAGACTCGGGAGCCTCCCCGCATATTTAAAGTGTCCCAAGCCGCACCGACACTACATTTACAGACATCCATGTCTTTTACGGGATTCAAACTCGGGCTCTTCGGTAGGGCAGTCAGCTTCGCTAACCACTATCCCGGTTGAGCGGCGGTACGGTTTGTACCAATTTTTAATGTTACTATAATTCTATCCTTACTGAGTGGGGGATACTTGTGTTACTTATTTCAAATAATTCGTGAACTTAAATAAAAATAATGGTTATCAAATATTTGAGGACATTAGCTTTAAAATGCTTTCTTTATTCTAAAAAGATAACGATATTACGCGCAAAGGATCAGTGGGTTAACAAAGGCGTGATCCTTTTAATCGCTTTTCGAGTGGAACGTGAATTGAATCCTATAATCCCTCATTTGTTCCCAGTCTAGCATATGAATTTTATTCGCCTACGCTGATTTTAAAAGGCAGTTTATTTCTACTTTTATTATTGCGTTCTTTCAACTTTAGTCATAATACAACTGCGAAAATATTTATTGTTACTCAAATATACTAGACTGGACGATTCCCTTCTGCATCCGGTGAATTTCATCACCATATATTATAAGGTTCTGTGTTGATGAGAGTTTTATAAAGTGTCCTTGTTGTTGCACTGTATAGTAAACAATCTATAAGAAAAAAGGCCACACCTTCTTTGTGAAATGATTAATGTTTTCGTAAAGTATCATTAAATGATTTAAAAGTAGCAATTTGGACTGTCTTATGTACAATATAGTACATTCTTAAAAACCGTTATGAAAATTATAACGTTTATCAGAAATTTTTGAAAAATAAGAATCTTGGCTTTAATAAATGATGACATTTCTTTTTTTATTTTACTTTTCTGCAATAATAAAGGCATCCCCTTTCCTGTTTTACTCTTTTGTAACTATAGGAAGTTTATACAGCAATCATTCTTGCTGTTTGAAAAAATGGAGAGGAATACCTATGATGGATATAGAAACGCTGTTTGTAAAAGTTAAAATTTTTATCACCCGACTGGAGAAGAGATGAAGTCTTTAAGATTTCCAAAGAGGTAAAAGTTTTTACATTACTAATAACGCGACAGCTACTCTGAGATGCAAATGCCAGGCAATTTAAGATAAAAAGAATAGTTTAAATCAAATGACCTTTTTTACCATAGCAAAAGAATATTCTTAAATAAAAGCCATAACAAACTTACCTATTTCCATCTTGCGTAGATAATCATCACCTAGGGTTAGGCTGAGAGAGGACTCCGTCAAGTAAGCATTTGCATTAAACTAAAAATATTATCATGTGTTAGTATTTCACTAAATGTTTAATCTGCAGTTAATATCATGGTGCGCTTTGTATTAAATGAATAAGACTTATTTGCAAACTCAAATTACGAATTAAAAGTGTTTTGTTATTAGAAAATGCTTTTTGTATAATAGTAAGATATGATCTATTTTTATGGAAGCTCTTTCACAAGTTTCAGCTTTGTATGTCATTGTAGGAAAATGGTCCTTGTATTGAAACTACAGGAAATCGCGTGTTACATTTTACTCCTTTCTCCTCAAACTGCGTTGCCTTTTTTTTATAACATGATAAAAGAACAAGGCTTTTTGCGCAACCAGTATATCAAAGCGTGCGAAACCATACATTTGTTTCAAATCGCTCTGGTTTATGATATGTAGGATTTTTTAGTACAATTACATTGCGCGCTGGATTTGACTAAGAACTTCTAAGTTGTCTATTAATTAGTGTGAGTATGAAAAAATTCAGAATTTCAGGTAATAAAGCTGATCATAATTCAAATTTAAATCTGTTGATTTATCAGCATTTATTTGCCTGCTAAAAACGCATTGCAAAAATTAGGATATTTTAACTATCTTTTACTGATATTCTTAAAGCACACTTTTATAAAATTTTAAAAGTAAATAAATTTCGAAAGAAATTAATTAAAAAGGAAACTGGGCAATTATTAGTCTTACTTTCTTACTACATCTGAAGAAAAGGAGGAGGAAAATCTAAATGATACAAATTTAAAGTCTTGCACAAAACTAAAAACATGCATCAATATTTTGTTTCATTATTTGGAAACTAAACTGATGTCCAGAATTAACTTAATACTCGAAAAGTTAGCAATATATGTAAAATTATCGATCGGAGATAAGCTAATTTTAAGGATGTAAGCTAAACGAAAGGCTGATTGTTATTATTCAAACAGTTTTTAATTGAATTTTTCAGATATGCAAATTAAAGTACTATGTCACCGAATTATATTACACACCTGTTAAGTAAACTGGGCTTCCTAAATTATGTAGTTTTTTAGGTTTAATTTCTCTTTAAATCGACTGAAAACTCTCAGTCTAAAAATATTCAACTATGGAAGAAATCTTTGAAACGAAGAGTTATTTTTTTTTCAGGTATAGGGGTTTCAAAGATTAAGATAGCAATATATTCCAAAACAAGCTGTAATACATTTTTGTCATAAAAATACTCGAACTGTTGGCCAAAGGTTTGGGTGATGCTGAAGAAAAGCGAAAAACAGTTAGGAAGATGGATATTTATTTGTAACGACACGTCGCAAGAAGTTGTCGACTGCCGAGAACTTTGGCTACTACTGGAATCATTGAATCAAAACAAGCAGAGTTTAAATCCCTTCTTGATAAAGAATTTTGCACAAGATTCAACTAGCAGTAGTCACCTCTTGATAGAATCGCATTGGCAATGACATTGCTTCTGCGCAATGTTAACATATTTAGACAAAAAGATTTATTATCTCTCTCCTTTTAGCCTCATGTCTTACGAGGTTAGAAATGTGTGTGGGGTACACACACACACACACACACACACACACGTTTAAATTGGTACAAACAATGAAGAAGCTGGATTAAAGGAAAAATAGACTTGTGAAAAGTTGAAACCCAATTTAAACACTGATTCTTGGGTTGTTTATATAAGGGACCAGTAACCGAGCCGTCGTGGTAGGAGGAAGGCGTCGTACTAAATGAATGAACAGTGACTGCCAAGAAATAGGTATAGGTGAAAGTATGGAGGATACCAGCGATATACCGTAGATCAACTGGTAATGCCTTCCCATACTAACTAACAACAAAAAAACTGCAAGCTTTATAGAAATTGAGGAAAGGAGCAACTGAAGCTTTCCAAAGGATCTAGAGTTTACCTATTATGGTCTGTCGTGGAAATCCACCGATTAGCCTGCACCCAGTATTTATTAAAAATAATGATTTAGGATATAAAGAGATTACAACATAGTTTCAATGCAATTTGAAATTCACAAATTAAATTCATAATTTCTGTTCTTATGTAACAAAAATAGCAGATAACTATAGCAAGTAACAGATAAACATAATGAGATAAATATAATTAGTACTGGGAACACAATACTGGCACACAATTGTAATGAACTGTGCTAATAATACTAAAGAGATGTCCATGGGGTGAAATCTTTTGAGAATAACATCATAAAACACTGTGAGTAAGAATTTGAGAGCTCAGGGATTTCAGAATTCAAAAACTGGGAATATAGGAAATAATTTTGACAAGAAACCAACACAGTTTTAAAAAAGATACTTGAAATGGTATGCTGGAGCAGGTTATTACGGAATTAAAGTTCACAAATGGAATCCTTTTGAATATTTTCACAGGATATAAAATTTCATTAATTTTATGCAGCATGAGGAACTTGACAAAGATCTAGGCCGTAGGAAGAGCGTAGTTACATAATTTTTTGAAACTTCGGATACTGATATTTAACTTTAATTAAAAAATTTTAGAATACCAGCAGATCAGTTTATGAGGATTTAAATGTGATTATACTCAGGACTTTGCTCTGTTATATGGACGATAGTGCTTCTTGCATACATGACACAAATGATGAATTAATTTCTTGGGAAGGATGAAGAGGCAGGCAAAACGATTTAAATTTAGACTTGGTAGAAAATCCTTGAATGCACTAGGGAAATCATTGCTAGACTTCGGTCTTTTTCCAAGAATTATTGTAAACTTGAAGTTATTTCTCGTCTAACCATACCTGATGCAGCTCTGTTAAATAGACATTTTTTCGAGAATTTTTTTTTTAAATTTTTTGGCATAAGACTATTATTTACAGACAGCTTGAACGTGTGTTCTCAATATAATAAAACACATACTTGATGAGTATAAATATATGCATCAAAATTACAATTTGAATAAATACATTACTATTTAATGAGTAATTGAAACTTCAAATTTGTGACAATAATAACAAAACTAAGAAAGCAATGAGAAATTGTAGTAATAATAAAAATTCCATGGATAAATAATTTTTATACAAGCCAAAATTTGAAACAAATAAAAATTATAGTCAAGATTAATAAAAGGTGATAATTTGAAAATTAAAGAAAAATATTAGATTAACATTCCTAAATGTTTAATATTAATTTCTGGTTAATTAATATTAAACATTTAGAGATTTACATTCAATTGCCAAAGTATAACAATTATGATTGTAGGTTTTTTAAGCTGTGTAAGAAAATTCGTAGGAATGAAAGAAACGGAAATAATTTCTTTACTTCACGTGAAGATGTTGGTGTAATAAAACGTTAATAATATGCATTATTTTATGCAAAATTTTCTTTATATACCAATTTTGTCTTTTTTCAAAATAAATAATTATTGGAACTTTAGGAAATAAGAATAAGAGAGAATTTTAAAACATTCATATCATGCTTCGAAGTAGTTAAAATTTCTCGCAATAAAAGCATTATAACAATTTTTAAAAATATATTAAATTAAGATTATTCTAAAATTAGCAAACATACGTAAAACATAGACTTACTTGCAGTGGGAGAATCACCCAATAAATCCAAAGTTTGAACCCTATTTTGCTATTCATTTTGTATCTTCGTTATCCGTCGTAATTTAATGAAAAAATACGCACAGAAAACCATATGTGGCAATCTACGTAAAAGCGTGAGATACCTGTCCGCTGGTTACGCCACCGTTCATTAGATTGGGATGGTTTGGATGCTGGAGCCAACTAGATACTGAGACTCACTCAGCCGTGGCCTGTAGCTTAGAAATGAATATCAGAGGCCGTCCACAAAATTAAGCTCTCATTTTGTTTCATACCATAGGTTTGAATTTTTAGAATATTATTAATAAAGATTGTAAATTTTAAATCAGAGAGTCCTAAATTTATATTACATATAAAGGCCTTTTTTTCAAGTATTGACACGTATTTTTCTCCTAAAGAGACGGTATTTTCACAGTTTTACGTTTTACTTCTCCTGCTTAAAATAAGCGTGTAGGATAAGCTTAGTTATTTAAATTCAGATGCATAATTTTTTAAATAATTACACAAATTAATCTAGAAGTAACAAAATATACATATGAAAATACTCTCTTTTTCTGCCTTGTAACCATGCAGCATGGAATATGTTTATGAAACATATTTGTCCACAGGAATAAGCAAAAATATCTGTGTTGTTTTTAAAATAATGCCTTCCATATGAAATAAACAAATCATAATTTATGATAATACTTGATAGAACTTTATATCTGGTGGCTTGCTTTCATGATAGTATAATTTCACTCCCGACAAAAAGTTATTTCGCATTCTCTTGAAATATGTAGGACAACTTTTCTAATTACAGCAAAAAATGAAGGTGAGATTTAGCTGCAGATAGGAAGTAGGTATGGAAATAAACTTTCATTTTTAAAACTGCTTTTTTTTCGTAAAAATCTTTGCATCTATTTGTGAAATAAATTTTATTTTTTTAACAGGTGGTTATGGGCCGATTTTCCTCTTGATATAATTTCTTTTATTATGTGCGTTTATTAATACTAGTATTTTCTTCTTACACTATTCATTACGTAAACTTGTATACTCGTAAATTAAAAAGGGCAACGGGATTTGCAGCACAGAAGAGCTTTCAAGCTGTTCTTAAATTATCGAATCGACTAGAAGACTTCAAAACAGTTAGTATAATTTATTTTTCGATGTCATCTTTACACAAAAACAAATTGCTGTATACTTATTTGACTGCTCAGATGCGCAAAGTAATCTAATTTTTAACTGCTACACATTACACTTTTACCAAGGAGAAGAGATGCTATTTCTATAATTTTCAGAGCGTTTATAGGTTATAAGGTATTTCTCCCGCCTTTCTAGCGTGCTTTCGTGGTGTGGTGGTTTGCACGCTGGACCGGTATTCCAGAGGTTATATTATATGCGTGTAAATGAATGTAAATAAATTATTTGTGGTTTTAAAACATTTTATACTTTTGACGAATCTTTATTAATTTACACTAAATGTAGAAAAGGAAGGTTTCAGAAGGTTTAATGTTTCAAACAATAGAGCAACTGATTCAAAATGTCAAATATTTTGACAAACTGAGCTGAGAAACCCAAAGAAAATATTGATAGTTGAATTTAATGAAAGCGCTATTATTTTTTGACAATAAAAATGAATTAAAACTCTTGCTCATATCTCCAGCTAAGGAACTTAATTTGGAAAATATGCTTTGCTTTTGTCATGTTTTGTCATATAAAGGCATAATAGTTTTCCGTATGCACTGTCATGACTTAGAAATTTCTCCCTCTAAGCCAAAATTTGGAAAACAGTGAATATATTGTTTGGAAGGTTTTAAATGTAAGACTAGAGTTAAGTAAAGCAAGCGACGTTATCCTCTTAAAAATAGAGATAGATTAATTCGAGAAGGGCATACAAAGTTTCATATGAAAGAGTAGAGGAAATGGCCATATTACGAGTTTCTTTTTCTATAAAAAGATCTCTGAACGAAAATAACATATTCATTATCTACAGAGCTGGATTAACGGGACAAAAAAGGCATATGCTTATGGCATCAAACAAAGATGGCAAAACGAAAGGTGCTTAGAGTTCTACAAAAATTTTTATTACCGGTTTTGCCACTAAAGGTGTGGTAAAGCAAATCAGAATGAAAAAGAGAAGGAATGAAAGAGAAGGAAGGAAGAAAAAAACCTGGATAAATGTTTATGGGGACATCAAAATCTTTTAAGTATTTAGGTTCCCTAAATGTTTTAATCTGGCTCTGATTAACTTATATATTAAATTACCAGCGATCTAAAGTTTTCTGAAACGGTTGCTGTTAACTTTTTAATCTTTAAGCTCCTGCATATTATTCTATTTACTGCTTCTATTAACTGCATCTTATTCCTGGCAAAATCAAAAGAAATTTCCTTTTTTTTTTTTTTCCTCTCAGAAGAGTATTGAGAAAAAAAAATCGCTTAAAATGCATCAACAGTGTCTCGAGAAGTGAAAATCGCAATATTTATACCCTATTCACGTTATTGTAGAGTTCAAATGCAGTTGACTGTGGGTGAACCTCCCCCCTCTCACTTATTCGAAGTGACGGAAGCTCATCACAAAGCACGATATCATTACACAGTCGGGAGCTTCCGGGATCTCTATATATTTCCGCTGCACACAACTTCGTATGATCAATTGAGTAATGAAAGCGTATCCATAAAACTTACATGCGAATTTTGTGCTTGTTATTTTTATGTGCGAGAGGAACGTTTCTTCCCCAGGTCATGCAATGTATCTGTTTACCATACACATTGAATACCACAATACTGGATGATACGTTGCTGCATAAAACGCGCAGATTGGAAAGATTCTGCCAAAAACAATCATGGAAAAATTAATGTATCGATTATGCCCAAGAATAAAGAATTTAAATTCACTAAAAATGAATTAAATTCTAATGACCTTAAATTCATAAAACACAATTATTTCTGAGATTACTGAGTACAATGTATATTGTTATCAAGAAAAAGAAGGCATTAAAAAGATTTAGCAATAATTGAATGGGTCAGGGGACCTGTTTTAATAGATTCGGTAATAATGACGTGTAACGTAATTCAAGCTTATTTGTTTTAGAAAGTCCTACCTAAAATCGTCCCTTCCCACAACCAGATACTTGCAATGTGTTTAGCAATAATTAAAATAATATAGTTAGATCAAATGTTTCAGTTCTCATTTTGACAATTCATCTTGTTACATTTCGTTTCTTAAATGTTTTTAAATTCTGCAATAAAGTGAAACAAATAGAGTCAAACCCTACTGTTACGAATCCGGCTTATAAAAATCATACGTAACAAAATTAAGATATTCTAGACTGAAATATTTTTCTTATTTCCAGAATTTCTGCAATATTTAATAGAAAAATTTCTACGCCTTAAAATCATCCATGTTCACGAGAAAGGAAAGCACATTTACGTTGCTGTTGTTTTATCATCATTCCGAACCTTTCTATGTGTTCTAAACATAGGCTTTATGCGATGGATGTAACTCAAAATCCTTCGAGAACCAGGACACATAATAAGCATATCTTAGGATAGCATACGGTGTAAGTGACCGTTACGCCAACGAACTTGAGCAGGTTCTCCGATTCCATTCAAATTCTTTGATTCAGATGTGGCTTGATTAAAGGCTACTGACATGACGGAAATTCTGAAATTTTCATTATTCAGGGGAAAAGGAAGCGGTAAATAGGGTCTTAAGGGCTTACAACTGTACAAGTAACTCCTGTTGTAGTAACTAATTCCGGTTACTATCAGACAGCATTAGTTCCAGAGGTAAGTGATTATTCCGTCTCCTTATTAATACATACGCATTTTATTGACAATATAATACACTGGTTTACAAGCATTATTATTAGGCAAATGCCTTCATCATTATTAGGCTTAACACCTTCGTTCTTCCATCAAAACTAAAATCAAGTTACAGAATATCAACAGAGACAAGATGTTCGGAGGGCCACCTAACGGCGCAAACTATCAATTTATAACACCTGTCTAAGGGAAGCAAAATTTTAATCCTTATCGGTTAATTTTGTGTCAATGTCTAAAATGCTTTCCAAGCTCTGTTTTATAAATAAAAAATGTTGCATTTTTTAGAATTTTTTTCTGTTAATTCACATTCAAAACCGAAGTGTCCCTTGTGGAACCAGGTGAATTACAAGCTAAGCATAATGAATTTTCCTGTACACCAAATCCGCTGAGATACTCCGGAAATCTACATGATGTGTTAAAAACTGATTTGCATCTATATCATTATATATTGGCATTTTTTCAGTTATTTTTACATTTTTCAGTAAGTCCTTATTTAAGACACAAACACACACCGAATAAGTACTAATCACGTCAAACAACAAAAATCAGCGTTAATTTTCAAAATTTTCACAGGACTAGTTTCGATGGTTTTACCGAACCACCATCCTCAGCTGCAAAACCGCAAATGAACAAAATAGGAAATAATGATTAGATAAGATAAGAAAGCCTGGACAAGAATAAGCAAGTGGCGCATCTGTTGGTGAAACCAGAACTAAAACATAATTTCTTTAAAGGCCAAAGGCAAAGATGGATTGGAATTAGGATCGTTAACAAGAACAGAAAGATTTTTATGAATGTGAAATGCCTCTAGAAAATCCAGTTCTCCAATTGAAGATGTTTTTTGAATAATTTTGGCAGCAGAAAAATTGAAAGTGTGATTTTCGGACCAACAATGTTGAGCAACAGAAGACTTCTGTGTTTCCTTTTTTCTAACATATGCCTCAAGTTCCTTGACGCGAAATTTTAAGGCTGTCTTAGTTTGGCCAATGTAAATTAAACCACACTGGCAAGGAATCCTATATATACCCCAAGAATTCATATCCGGAATGGGGTCCTTGAGTATGGAACTCGGAATTTTATTGATGGGAGAAAAAACAACCTGAAAGTTAAATTTCTGCAAAATATGGCAACTTTATAGCTAATTGATGGAAAGAAGGGAATGACAACAGAATTTTTATAATCTCCTAAAACAAGAGTGTGCCTTTTAGTGTGTTGAGATGAGAATTTTTTTAACTGCTTGATTAATAATGTTGGGTGAAAAGCCCCTGTCAATAGCTATTGCTTTTAAATAATTTAGTTCTTCATCAAGGGCTAGTTTGGAG